TCCCACTCCCCCTGCTTGTGTTCCCTCTCTCGCTGTGTCTCTCTCTGTCAAATAAATCAATAAAATCTTTACAAAAAAAAAATGCTCTAAAGGGCTTCGCAATCTTGGCACTGTAACATTTCAGGGTGGACAAGTCCTTGTCGTTAGGGGGCTGCTAAAGGAGGTTGAGCAGCATCCCTGGTCTCAACCCACTAGGTACCAGTCGGCATCTCCCCAGACCATCTCCAGACATTGCCAAATGTCCCCGGGAGGGCGAAATTGAGAAATACTTGTCCAGAGCGCATCAATCATCATTTGGGAGGGGTCTTTTTCTAACCAAAAAAATACCTTCTATGTCACCGATAGATAAACATGAGTAACCTACCCGCCGCATTTCCAAGTTCAAGAGGCACACATCTCCCCTCCCGCACGCCGTGCCTCTTTGCTCAAAAGTGTGAAAGCAAACCACAAAATCCTCCACGTCCTTCATCTTAAGGAAAGAAAAAGAACCAAGCGGACACGAACTGTGGCTGTAGTTCTTTCATCCACTAGGTCGGAGATCAGGTTGGGAGGATGAGCCTAGTAAAATCAAGCAGAGTTAGTATTTTCTCCAGTAGTTCTTGGCTGTGAGCATCACGGGGACAGCAGCGAGCTAGGGCTGCAGGTCTGGAACAGACGACACCTTTGCTCGCCCCGTGCGGCATCCAGAATCGGGGCCCCCAAAGATATCCATCCACATCCGAATCCCCAGACCTGTGGCTGTCAGGTGGGAGGAGGGGATTTTGCAGACGGGATTAAGTGAAGGATCTTGAGCTGGGGCAGATTTTCTTGGATTATCCAGAAGACCCGATATATAACCGCTAAGCGTTCTCATAAGCAGGAGAGGGAGGCCGAGAGAGAGAAGGAAGGCACCAAGCCAACAGCAGAGGCTGGGCTGATGTCACTGCTGTCTGAGGGCTGGGAGCCAAGGGATGCAGGGCAGCCAAAGAAACAGATTCTCCCCTCGGCCTCCAGAAGGAAGCCGCCCTGCCTTTAGCGCAGCGATTTTCTAGATTTTCTAGAAAGGCAGTCATGGTGTGGAGGTGAAGAGGGGGGGCCCTGGAGTGGTGTCCAGAACACAGTGCTACTTCGGAGTGACTTGCCCTGACTCGGTCTCCCCACAGGAGGGGACGAGAGCACTGTCCTGGGGCTGAGTGAGAGGAGGCCTTGCGACAGGAGTGGCTTAGAAGGGAGCCCGTTGCAGGAGGCCCGCCGCCGGTCTCACGCCGACCTCTCACCCCTCCCTGCGCCCCCCCCCCCCCGCAGTGCGTCTACGGTGGAGTCCTGAGAGGGACCGGCAAGCAGGCCTTCGGAGCCATTGTGAATGCGATCACGTACTATGTCGTCGGCCTCCCTCTGGGCATCGTTCTGACCTTTGTAGTCAGAATGAGAATCATGGGTAAGTGTCACGAGGGGAAGCCGCAAGTGGCCTGGGGGCCCTCGGACACCCTGGCCCCACCGCTGCGTGTCCCCCGCAGGCCTCTGGCTGGGCATGCTGGCTTGTGGCCTCCTGGTCACTGCCGCCTTTGCGGTCTACACCGGCCGGATGGACTGGAAGCTCGCTGCAGAGGAGGTGAGCGAGCGGTGGGCCCTGGCCTGGCCTTGCGTGCGGAGTGACTGCTCCCCGGCAGCGCTCGGGGCACGTCGGGCCTCGGCAGCAGCGATCTGCGGGATAGGCTGGGGGGCACGGGGGGCCGCCTTGGCCTCCCCGTCTGTTCCCGGCGCCATAGCGGGACCCCAGACCACGCCGGGCCTCGGCAGCAGCAGTCTGCGGGATAGGCTGGGGGGCACGGGGGGCCGCCTTGGCCTCCCCGTCTGTTCCCGGCGCCATAGCGGGACCCCAGGCCACGCCGGCGTACTCTCCAATTACAAGGAGAAGCACACACACCACAACCCTTCCTTAGCCAGCCCAGGCTGCCGGAAACCCAGACAAAAGCCAACAGCTCAATCAAACGGGGCTGAACCCCGACACGTCCCTGAGCGTGTGGCCCGAGCCGAAGGCGGACGCGTAACCGACCGAGCCACCCAGGCGCCCCCAGCCTACAGCGTGTTAAGGCAGGGAGCTGGTGAGGCCTGTGGTGAGCGGGCACGCCGACCGGCTGACCCAGGCGAGCTGTCGCTCTTGTAGGCTCAGAAGCACGTGGGGTTGCTGCCGCAAAGCCCTGACGGCACGGTGAGCGCGGCGAGCGCGGCGACCTCGGCCCCCCGCCCCGGGCCTGCGAAAGCTGTCACCTCTTCAGGTAATGCTGTCCTGGTGCTTCTGCTGGGCACACACCATGCCGGGGGGCACACCGCTCCTGGCGGCCTTGCGTCAGGGCCTGGGTCGAGTGGGAACCGTGGGAGCCGCCGTTCCTCGTCTTGGCTCGGACGCGCCGTCCTAAGTACCAGGAAGGCGACGTTACTACGTCTGATTTAACGGGCCCTGCGCAAAGTACTTCACATCCTCGGCCTCGCGAGGTCGCGACTCTAGTCCCATTCTCAGATGAGAAAGGAGGGCTGAGAGCTTAGGTCTCTTCCCCGTGGTCTGGCTACTGGAAAAGGGGGCAAGATCCTTGCAGGGACCCGTTCTCCTCTCTGAAGGCCACGTCCTGCCCACGGGCGGGCACCCCTGGCTTATATCCAGGGTGTCTGTGATGAAGGGATGGCCCAGGCGGGCGTGGAGTGCGGAGCGTGTGTGTACACAGCCCAGAGGCCTCACTTAGCTTGGTGAGCTCATTGCCTCCTGGGCTCTGCCTTCAGTAGGGAGCTTCGGACTAAGCTCGGGGCGCTCGGAGTGTTGCGAGAGACCACAGTAAGGTCCGACTAAGCATTTAACGTGCTCTGAAGACACATGTGACCGTCACACTCGCCAGGTCATCACAACAGGCTCGGAGAGGAACCCCTGTAATGTGATCTTAGTAGTAGCTCTATCTGTGCGTTGAACTCACATCGCGAGAGATTTTCCCACATCGTTTCCTCCTCTGATCCTGCTGCAGGGTAGATGAGGCTCCTTCTCCTATGTGGGCGTTTTCTAGCGTAAGGCCCAGGGGCAGATTCTTAACTGTCACCCCGCATAACACACGCAGCCGGGCTTCCTGATTCAAGGCCGAAGCTCTCCCCCTGCCCCCCAGCCCCCCAGCCCTGCTGAGTTGGCTCCCGTTTGTCTCCGCAGTGGCCACAGGTAACTCCCCAGGCATCACCCTGATGACGTATTCAAGGCCCGAGTGCCACCTGGACCTCTTCAGGACCCCGGAAGCAGCCCGTGCCCTGTCGGCCCCGGCCAGCCCCCTGTCAACAAAACAGCTGCTCATCCGCCGCGGGGCTGCTCTGGGGGTGGTGTCAGCCATGCTGATGGTGGGCCTGGTCATCAGGTTCCTGACCGCCAGACATTAGCCACACAGCTCGGAACCAGAAAGGGAGCCAAGAGTGGCCGCCCCCACCCGCCCACACCTGCCTACAGCAGCACCCGCGGGAGCCAGGCTGGGGGGACACCTTGGTGCACACCTCCGAGAACGACCTGCCGCCGTGTGACCAGTGTCAAACTGGTGTGTCAAACTGGCTTTCTCCCCTCTGCTCTTTAAGAAGCCATCCGCCGACCGAAGAGACAGAGTCCTGGGACTGCTGCTAGGAGTCGGTGATGTACACGGCTTCAAATCGGGAGACTTCAAAGCACGATCCCAAAACACACTGTCACTCAATTAAAAATTCCATTTTCTCCCAGGAGACTCTGGTGCCCGGGTCTGTTCACAAACCCTTTGTGAAGTCCCTGCCCCATGCGCCCCTGTAGATCTGGGTGCCGTGAAACCCCAACGAGACAGGTGGCCGTCCACAGACCCTCCTTTGCCTTTGCCTTTGCCTTTCCGCTAACCCTTCGCTCCGTCAGCATCATGCTGATCACAGACCTTGAGAAACACTGGTTCTTACAGCAGGGATGGGGTAGAAGCAAGGGCAGCCGAACCCAGATGGCCGGGCCACACAGCCTCGGGATGGAAGGCAGTGCCGACCCAAATTCTCGGACGCTTCTCCTGGAGGCCTGGGACTGCCGAACGTTTTCAGGCTCCGTGCCTCCAAAGTGGAGGGCGGTCTGGCCTCCCCTGCCCCACACAGTCCCTTCGGCATCAGTAGCTCTAAACGCGTCACAAACAAAATGAATTTATTGATCAGAACCAATAGAAACAAAAGGAAGCACAGAACGTAATCCCGGTTTGAAAGAGTCAATGTGAGTTCACGTTGGGGACCTGGCAACACTCCGGGCCTCCCACTCCCTGGAAGGCAGCGATCCTCCTTGTCTGGGACATACATAACCTTAGTGAGCTGTAGGCAACCCAACAAAATGACTGGGAACTGAGCACAGAAAAGTAATGTTGCCCCAAATGTGTTCTAAGGTTACAAAGTCTTCAGAGCAAAGGGTTCCCTGGTCAAGTAAGTTTGGAAAACCACCCACGCCAGCCTGCAAATGTTCTGCAGGCCTGGGGTCCTGAAATATGCTGCCGTGCTTTACGAAACCCGGTGGACAGGGTGGGTGGTGGGATCAACTTTTGTGTAAAACCTTATGGGATTAATGTTCTGGGAAGAGGCTTACGGAAACGCTTGTTTTAGATTAGCAAATGGGGATAGGAGGGTAGAGGGGAAAAACCTATTTACTATACAGGTATTTTAAAAAATAAAACCCCACGGGGGCGCCTAGGTGGCTCGGTCGGTTAAGCGTCCGATTCTTGATTTTGGCTCAGGTCACGATCTCAGGGTTGTGAGATCGAGCCTCGCGTCAGCTCTGCGCTCTGCATGGAGTCTGCTGAAGAATCTCTTTCTTCCGCTCCGTCTGTCCCTCTTCTCACCCCTTTCTCTCCCTCCCTTAAAAAAACTAACAAACCACCCCACAAATGATAGAAAGTAAAGCCTGAGAAAATCTTGGCTAAGAATTTAAGTGAGAAAGCAAGACTTAAAGAAAGTGGATAGGGCGCCTGGGTGTGGCTCAGTTGGTTAAGCAACTGCCTTCGGCTCAGGTCATGATCCTGGAGTCCCTGGATCGGAGTCCCACATCGGGCTCCCTGCTCAGCAGGGAGTTTGCTTCTCCCTCTGACCCTCCCCCCTCTCATGTGCTCTCTCTCAAATAAATAAATAAAATCTTTAAAAAAAAAAGAAAAAGAAAAGAAAGTGGATAAATACCACCTGTGATAGGTAAAGGCAAAAAATGGATTTATAGTTGGGGGAAAACTTACGGCCAAAGAACGGTCTTCAAGACAACAGGGCATGAGGAGTTCCACGCTAAGAATGTCATTCTTAAACTTCATGCCAGTTTTAGCAAATACGGTGTATTTATTTTGAAGCAGGATATACGAATAGACAAGCCAATAATTTAGTTGAACTAGAAACCAGAATATACAATATGCTAAATGAAAATTCCACATGGAAATTGTAAGATACTTTATGACTGATTATCCTGATGGACTAGCCTAGTGATGAAGTCTTGACACCTCATCCTGGGATGAAGACTGCACACTCAGACAGCCTTCCTGGAAGAGATTCACGCAACCAAGCTGATTACACATTCTCTTGTTGCGCAGAGGCGGGGAGCGTCACCTGCAGGGCAGGGAGGCTGCACTCCACCGGGCTCTACCCCACTGGGTCTCAGGTCTCGGCCGTGCTCAGGAGAGATCCCCTTCCTTTGCCCTCCGTCCCCTTCAGCACGGCCACCTGCTATGGCTTTCAGAGTCCTCCTCCAAACGATCCACCCATCAGCCCCCTGAGGCTCTCCAGCTCCAAAGTCCTGAATATCCGAGGCCTCTTGGTCACCACAGGCAATGGCTTTCTGCGTTGGGTCCTGAAGGCTGCACTTATTCAGAAAGGGAGCTCTCTGAAGTAGCAAAGTGAAATTTATGTGCATTGTGCTACAGACATAAGAAACTTAAAGATCTGTCCTTGAAGATCCACTGACTTGAAACTAAGATCCTGAGAGAGAATAAGTATTGTTATAAGTCATTTTATTACAGCATAAAAACACACCAGTTAGGTTTTATGAGATGTGGAATCCTACAACTCCTATACAGGAAGAATGACGGAGGATACTTGCGTGAAATTGGCAACTTGTCTTCCCAAACGCCCTGGGACGTACAAGATGATTTGCGTGGCATTAATTGCAGAAGGCATTTCTGGACAGCCACAAGAGACTGTCCCAAACCAAACACGAAAAAGGGTGGAGAATGGTTGAGAAAGGAGGAAGACCACTTGTCCGATGGTACATCTGACAGGAGGGTTGACTCCTGAAAGTCAAGTCCTCGTGTCCCAATGGATGAGGGACGGGGACCCTCCCCCACCAACCCCATATACAATTCTAGTGCCTCAAACCTCAAGCAGAGCTGGACAGGTCTAGCCTCACCTCTCTGGATGCAGACGGTTTCAGATAACCCTGGGCTGGGAGGGGCCCCTGACGGCTTCACAGCAAGATGGCGGAAGGCAGCAGGGGTGGGGGCGGGGTGTCCTGTGTCCCGTGAACTGGAGTGAAGAAGTCACTCAACAGGTTCGGAGACTCCTTTACATCTCCCAAGGAGTCCACGCTTAGCCTATCATATTCTCCTCCCCTAGACTCAAGCTCTAAGGTCTGGGTGATACAACGTAAAATGGGTTCTCCGAGTGGGGGAGGAAGGCTGGGGTTTGGCTGAGATGGCAGGTTTTATCCCTGGGGAGTGGCAATGACTTTGAGGATTGATTATGGTGCATTTGCATATTTCCCTACTATTTTGGGTAGGATTTTAAATCGACTGGTTCATTAGCTATTTAATAGAGGAATAATTCAGTAGAGGCAACCAGGAGGTTGAACAGGATCTTTCTTCAGTAGTATCCAACCTAGAGAGAGGAGAAAGGGATCCAGGTTACTCTGCTGGTGTAAGACCCCACCCGACCAGCCCCGGAATAGGAACTCCGTACCGGGACTCAACCAAATGCCTCCTATTTACAGAGACGCGAACTGCGCTGTATAACAAAAAGGTCCCTGTCTCCCTAAGAAGTTAAGTGCAGTTTGGGCTGAGGATAAAAGACTATGCCCTCCCGTGCAAAGCAACAGTAACGAGACAGGGAGTGGTGATGAGGCGGTGTTCGGTCTCGTGTCAATGAGACAACATCAGCGTTGAGCCAGGAATGGAAAATGTTCATTTACTATCCTCCAGTTGTGAGTGCGAGGCTGAAGTCTCGACATGAAATCTGAAAACCCAGAGTTCTAATGGCATACTCAATTCTCGAAGGCCTCGTGACATCTCGCAATTATAACCCTTTATCTTTCTCAACTTTTTAAAACCTGCATCACCTACTATGCTTTCTGTGGCTCATATTACACTTTACTAGAACTTTACTTTGCGTAGATGGGTATACACACATACACACACACACACACACACAGATATTTTTTTAAATGCATATAGAAAATTCCTCTCCACCCTGATTTTGACATGCTCCCTTTAAACTGATCATCGCTGCTTTCAATTTCCCGTTTAGAAATGTTCCAAGCCCATTCTCGTTCTAGTGAAGTGAATTAATGAAATCACAACCCAGCACATAACAAAATAACTACTAAGTGCAGAAAAGCCATTTCAGAAAAATGATTGTAGTCCCGATAAAGACTCCTCAAATAAAGGCACAACGTGGGCTCAGAATCACTTCTTTAAAATAAAAGGTGATTTGGGCGCCTGGGTGGCTCAGTTGGTTGGGCAACTGCCTTCGGCTCAGGTCATGATCCCGGGGTCCCAGGATCAAGCTCTGCATCGGGCTCCCTGCTCACCAGGGAGTCTGCTTCTCCCTCTGACCCTCGCCCCTCTCGTGCTCTCGCTCTCAAATAAATAAATAAAATTGGGCGCCTGGGTGGCTCAGTTGGTTAAGCGACTGCCTTCGACTCGGGTCATGATCCTGGAGTCCCTGGATCGGGTCCCGCATCGGGCTCCCTGCTCGGCGAGGAGCCTGCTTCTCCCTCTAACCCTCCCCTGTCTCATGCTCTCTCTCTCTATCTCATTCTCTCTCTCAAATAAATAAATAAAATCTTTAAAAATAAATAAATAAATAAAATCTTAAAAAAAAAATAAAATGTGATTTGCTAGAAAGAAGACAAGCTCAGAGACAAGAGCAGAGAAGCAGCAAAGAGGAAAAGAAAACCATATCCTCGCTGGTCCCACACGGAATCCAAAAAGGTCCGAACCACTAACACATCCGCTCGTAGTGAGAACCGAGGTTTCCCCACTGAGAGACCGCGGCTGGCGGCCCCCATTCCATGGATGAGCAGGCCGAGGCCGAAGGGCGGGCTCAGAAAAGGCCTTGCTCAGAGTCGGAACTGGGTTGATCTCGGAGCCAGGGATCAAAGCCACATTTTCCTGCTTCCAAGCTACCTGTTTTAATACCCTGCTGCTTCTCCAGCCGTTCACAGGGAAAGGCTTGTCTGCCAAACCCTTTGGGGAGCTCCGGGCAGGCTACCTGGCCCGCCCCAGCCTGTCTGACCCGGCATGCTGCCCCCGTGGGGAGCACCACAGCCTGGCGCTCTGAATTTCCCACGATACTAAGAGGTTCCACCGCCAGCAGGAAGGTGCCTCTCAGGCTGGGGACTGTTGTCTGGGGACAAGAGAAGACAGGCAGATACCGAGCGGAGACCCAGGCACACCTCAGACCTCGGGGAGATGCGGAGGGAGGAGTTGAAAGCCTCTAAATTACACACGGTGTTTTGATTCACTCCGTCTGCCACCACCAATTCTAAAGTCAAACTTCTTTTTAAACACCCAAACAACTCCAAACAAAACAAAAGAGTGACTAAGAGATTTTTTTTAGAAGATGAGTCTCAGGGCGCCTGGGTGGCTCGGATGGTTAAGCGTCTGCCTTCGGCTCAGGTCACGATCCTGGGGTCCTGGGATCGAGCCCCACATCAGGCTCCCTGCCTGGCGGGGAGCCTGCTTCCCCCTTTCCCTCTGCCTCTCCCCCTGCTTATGCTGTCTCTCTCTGTATCTCTGTGTCACAAAGGAATGAAACCTTTAAAAAATAATAAATCAATAAATAAATACAAAAGAAGATGAGACTCCAATTATAAAGCAAAGGGTTCACTGTGTACGTGTACCTATAGATCTGAGCCGGTCAGCTGGTGCGACCTCCAGGGGAGCTGAGCGGACGGGGAGGAGGCAGGAGGAGCACCCGTGACTCTCCTTTTTCTAGAAATGATGTGGGCTTCATCTAGACCCAGCTGGGCCATTACCGCCACACATTTTTTTTTTTTTTAAGATCCCAGCGAGCCACCCTCGCCCTTTTGAAAGTATGGATAAGTTAGGTTTTAGCACCCTGATACCCTGGGCCAAGCTCCAAAATAAAATGTCTGGAGATTTTTTTCTGAGAAGCCTCCAGCTACGGGAAAATGAATCACTAAGAGAGAACAGACACCCGACTTGGCCCACTTTATACAGGGACGGAAAACAAGCAGTTCCTACCTCACTCTTAACAGAGCTGGGTCGTGGAATCGGCTGTCCGTCACGGCTTACTGGACAACACGGTCTAAAATGCCAGAAAAATCAACAGGGCCTTTCTCCTCAGCACAGCTTGGTATTTCTGAGAGAACCCAAATGATTTCAAATGCAACTGGTCTCTCCAGTTCCACCAAAGCTATGTGATACTGGCAAACGAGCCAGGCCCCTTGCAAACTGTAACTGAAGTGCAGACATGAACAACACAGCTA